GATTCCATTGGTCGACTTCTCTGTTTTTATGCCAATACCAAGCTGTTTTCAATACTGTAGCTCTGTAATAGAGTTTGAAGTCAGGGATGGTAATGCCTCCAGACGTTCCTTTAATGTATAAGATTGTTTTGGCTATCCTGGGTTTTTTGTTTTTCCATATAAAGTTGATTATTGTCTTCTCAAGATCTGTGAAGAATTTTGATGGGATTTTGATGGGGATTGCATTGAATCTATAGATTGCTTTTGGTAGAAGACAGATATGTTTTATAATGAAACCCAGACCACCATAAAGCTGGACTGAGAAAACATGGGAACTATGACAGCAATTTAGGAAGTCTATCTTGTTCATTTCCAATATCTAGTTCCTAACACAATGCTTAGCATATACACTTGCTGTTTATATATGTAACATAATTAATATTTTAAAAATTTGAATATTTGAATATTTCATAATAAATGAAAATATGCAATATTTATGTATATGATTATCTCAGGTAGTAATGAGGTCATCACATCACAGTGGCAATACAGAAAATGAGAAGACAGAGAAGGCAATCAACACAATTAATGCTTATTTTAGTTGATAGGACAGAAAAATCAGCTGGTGTGGGAAGTCCTTCTGTATATGTGTTGCTTTTTATTGGTTAATGAATAAAGACGCTGCTTTCGGCCAATGGTTTAGCAGAATAGAGCTAGGCAGGAAAACTAAACTGAATGTTGGAAGAAAGAAGGCAAAGATAAAGAGAAGCCATGTAGCCACCCACAGGAGACAGACGTTTCTGCCGGAACCTTGCCAGTAAGCCACAGTCACATGGCAATACATAGATGAATAGAAATGGGCTAATTTAAGATATGAGTTAGCCAGAAATACACTTAAGCTATTGGTCAAACAGTACTGCAATTCATACAGATTTCTGTGTGATTATTTCGGAAGTCTGGGTGGCGGGGAAATGACTCCCCCAACAATCAGCCAATAAAGCAGAGAAACCAGAAGAATAAACAAGTACTTAAGCTCATGACAGAAGAACTTAATAAAAGCAAGGTGGTTATGACGTCAAATCATACCAAATAAAACAAATATAATTGAACGAACCTTACAAAAAGCTCAGTGGTGATCCCTGCTATGCCATAACGGCTCAATATAAATAGATTAGGTTGGAAAGCTGTCACACACTAATCAGTGTGCACAAGAACGGCAGTGAAGGTGACAGACAGTGTACGGTTGACAAGCTGGGAAAGTCAAGGGAGATTCTTTTCCTGTCTCTAATCCCATATTTATTCTGAATGGACAAACATAGGCCATCAAGAAAGGAGACCAGAAAAAAAATACTAGTGAGGAGTATTTAATAGAGGAAGGTTCTAGAGAAGACAAAATAATGGGATCAAGTCCATACAGGGGCATTCATCTTCAAAGAAATCAAAACATGTCTCCTTTAAAACAAAGGATGGGCAGGTGAGGAAAAGTTAAAATGTGAAACCGGATAAGGAAGCTACTTTGTGATGTATTGTCAGTAAGGGTGGACATATACGATAATACATGTGGAAACATCAAACTTCAAAGACTCAGTGGAAAAAAGAAGTAAAATACCTCAAATAACTGTATTTTGATTATATATTGAAGTAACACATTGGAAATACTAACTTAACACTTATAAAATTAATCTATCAGGTCTTTTTACTTTCAAAATATCAACTACGAGAAAACTTCAAATTATGTATGCAGTTTGCATATGTACAATTTCCTCCCCAGTACTGAAGACTGAGCCAAGGTCTTATGTACGTGAGACAAGTATACTACCACTGAGCTATACCCCCAGGAGTACTGCAGATATGTATCAAGTGACAATTTACTTACTGTAGGAATACAAATCTTGCTTAAGGGGTTTCCATCCAGGAGATATGATCCATTAAATGTTACATATTCATCATAATACTGAGGAGCTTGAGGAATAACGCTACATAATAGCTTCCGTTTTTCTTCGATTTTTTTCCTTATGTGCAAATATTCAAAATATGGATTTGCTCTCTCAGAACTGTATGGTTGAATCTCATCTAGTTTCAGAGAATCTACGATGGCTGCTAGAGACTGCTGTGTTTTCTCCTTTGCTTGTAGTAAAGAGGGACTCACTTGCACAGGCTGAGGGACCCGTGACACTTTCCTTTTCCGTGGATGGTGAATCTGAGGATCATCATCTTCAGTGAGCCTTATTCTTCCCCTGGGCGAGGAGTCACTGTCTTTTTCTGGCAAAAGTGTACAGCCAGCAAGAATCTGCTTGCTTTGATTTACCATTGTGCTCGATTTGTTTCTAGTCATTCTTTGGGGGATTTGGTTTTCAGTTTTATCGTCTTCTGCGCTTTCTTCTAATTCTCCTTTAATGAGTTGGTCATGTTTGTGCATCTCTGGTTGGGCTGACTGCTGTGAATGGCTCTCCACACCTGATAAAGTGCTCTGCTGAGATTCTTCATCTTCAATGGAAAGCAAATACTTTTCACTATCAGGACCATGCTTTGGATTATCCTGTTCATTTAGGGTTCCTTTCGGCATCCCTGCATTCACTTCATACAAATCAGAATCACATTTACTCAACTGAGTTAAGACTAAACTTTGCAGTTTGCTTTCTTTTTCATGTGAGACAACGTGAGCATCTTCTGTGCTCTTCTCAACATCATGGCTACTGGAAGACTTGTAAGTAAGTTTGCTAAATGCATAATGTGTACTGATCTGAGAAGCAGCATCACTTCCACTGAAGTCCTTTTCTGATGGCAATACAAGCAAAGTATTTGCCTTGTCAAAGGCTGGGAGTGTTTCTTGAATAGTGCTTTCAGAGTAAACTGGTACAAAAGAATTCGTCTTCTGAATGTCTGCTAGGACAAACGTATTTTCCACATCCTTTGTAAAGTTACTATCGTTATCTATTACAGAGCTAATCATATGAGCTGCATTTTTCTGTTGTAAAATACCTGGTTCTTGATTGGCAGCATACGACAAAGACACAGGTTTAGAAGCACACTCAGCATCTGACTGTGACTGGTTGGAAAAAGAGCATGGTTGCGGTGAAGACAGAAAAGATGCTGGATCCTGAGCACACGAGTTTCCTGGTAGTTCAGTCTGGTGCAGGGATAAACAGTCAGTACTTTGTTCTCTTAACATTTTGTTTTCTGAATTACAGAAACTCTGAGCAGAGGAATCTTGATCAGCTGTACCAGAATCTGGGCATATAAATTCATTGGTGCTTAAAGACTCCAGCTTATCAACAGGTATCTCCCATGATTTATTTTGTATTACTCCAACCTGATTAGATGGTTCCAAGTGCATTGGACTGTCCATTAAAGTACCCACAACACCAGGACTCTTGATTACATTTGTATCAGTTGAAATATACCTGCTGTTTATAGTCCTAGTTGGAGAGCCTGTAAAGTTGGGGTTTAAGTCAGACAAATGTGAAAGGCCTCTTTCTGGCATTGGAGATACTTCAGGTTTGGGAGAAGGACAAGTCTCTCTTGGCACAGCTAAGCTGCCTTGGTTGCTTTCTTCTGCTATCTGGAAATGTTTTGTGGGTTCACAGATGACTGAGGGCATGCTACATCTTCTGATTTCTACAGCAGGCCTTACTTCATTAGTTATTAGTTTAACATCTTCCACAGAAGATGACCTGAGATGGCACACTGGAAGTCTGTTTGTACATGGTGGCTTAAGTCGTTCCGGCAGGTCAGTAAGGCTCTCCAGCTCCCTTTCATAAAGGGCTGGAGATTTGGCATTTGGCAAAAAAGGTGACTGGGAAAAAGACAACTGAGATTCTGAGCCCTCTAACATAAAGTCAGAGTCATATTCAACAAGAGGCCGTGGGGTTGTCACTGTGTGGCAAGAATCTTCTGAACTAGCAACAGAAATCATGGAAACAGACCTGGAGCTAAGACCCAGTCTCTCGCTTTCTGACCTAGGAGAGCGGTTTGAGCTGTTCTCTGAAATAAAGGCCGACTTACCTAAACTCAGTACATTTTTGGTGTCAACAGACTGTGATCTATTGCTTCCAACATCTTTAGACTGTTTCTCCTTATTATAAACATCAGTTAATTCTGAACTTCTTGACCTGGTAAATTCTTTATTTTTTGATTCAGTGGGTATATGCTTTGTTTTTTCTTTATCTTTTACTTTAAGTTCTAAACAAGTACGATTTCTTAATCGTTCTTTTTCTTTTTGCTTAATTTTTTCCTTATGTTTTTTGTGCCACTGTTCTATTTCTAGGTCTTTAAGGCTGAGCATTCGTTCAAAACTTGTCTGCATGAGATCATCATTCACTAACCTCTTCTCTTTAGGTCGGACATCTTTTGAGACTGGTAATGATTTAGGTTTAGGCTTATCTGTTTCAGACTTTAGTTTGAGTAAAGGATTCAGTTGGATTTTGTCTTTACGTTTGTCTCGTTCTTTGTATCTGTCTATATCTTTTTTATCTTTCTCTTTTCCATCTGGAGTTTTCAAAGGTTCATCCCTTGCCTTTTCTTTAAGGGACATAGTTTTCTCATGCTGGATTTTACTACTACTGTCTCCTATACTTGACCTTTTCTCTTCCTGTAAATGCCTGGAGTTAGATACACTCATACTTTCTTTATCTCTAAATTTTTCCTTCTTCTCTCCTTCCCTGTCTTTACTTCTGACCTTTTCTGACTTAATATATTCACTATTATCAGACTTTTTTTTCTCCAAGTGCTTTTCTTTGCTTTCTGCTAAATACCTGTCTTTTTCAGGTTTTTCTTTGTCATGCTTTCTGTCTGTTTTTTCTCTGTTCCTCTCTCTGTCATCAGTTTTTTTAATCATGTTTTTCATCTTCTCCCCTTCTTTCTGACACCTTTCTGTCTGATGTGGACACAGCTTGTCTTTTTCTTTTATTCTGTCAGCACATTCACTAAAATCCAATTTCTCTTTATCTGACTTATGTTCATGTTTCATCTTCTTTTCTTTTTCAGAAAATTTTCTTTCAGTCTTGTCTCCCTCTTTTTCCCTAGTTTGAAATCTTCTGTCAGATTTTTCCCTTTCTTTTGTATGCTTTTCTTGTTTTTCAATGTCCATTTCCTTTTCCACTGAATGTGGTCCTACAGATTCCTGGTTTATACTGGCACCCACAGAACTACACTCTGCTTCTTTCTCTGTAGATACGCTCTCTCTTTCTTCCTTTAGCTTTTCTTCCCTAAGGAATTTTTCATTTTCCTTTTTAGTCTTTTCCCGTTCTTCTTTAAAGTTCCTCTCTTTTGAGACATGTTTTTCCTTAGTTAATTTGTCATCTTTCATGTTTTTTTCCAGTTTTGATTTTTTTTCTGTTAAGGACTCATGTTCCATATTTAAAAAGAGATCCTCAGTTTCATCGCTTTTAAAAAAATTTTCTTTCCAAAATTCTCTGTCAAACTCAATGCTCCTCTGCAGCTCTTTAGCATTATCTTTATTTTTGTATTTTTCCTTTTCACCTTCAACTTCTTTTTTGTGCTTTTCTTTCTCCCTCTCTTTATGTTTCAGTTTGTGTTTTTTTAGTGTTTTGCCTTCCTTATCCATCTTTTTCAGCGTGCACTCTGAGTTTTCAAATGCTGGATTATGATCCTCATCTTTTAATTTGGCACTTGACTTTTCACCAAATTCTAGGTGGAAATCTTTCTGATGTTTGTTTTTTTCCTTATGCTTGTAAGATTTTATATTTGAACTTTCTGGCAAGAACTCAGTTTCTGTACTATCATACCGAGCAAGATCAGGCTGTAAGGACATTTCAGAGCTCCCTGGAGATATGCATGCTTTCGTATGTTCTTGCTTTAGTGGTGTTGACTGCTTTTCACTTAAGCCACAAGAATGTTTGGGGGATTTACCAGTGGAAATATGGAATAAGTGTAATGAAGTTTCATCTTTTGGACTAAAAGATTTCCTAAAATTGCCTTCCTCTCTGGTTTTCTCTGAACAATCCAATGCAGTATTAACAGTTAAGTTTGTTATTCTGGTGTTTTCTTTCCCCTCTTTTTCTTGTTTAAGTTCTTGGTTCTCTTTGTTTTTATTCTGATTTTTCAATTTTCTTTTAACTTTGCCCTTCTGTTTATATTCATATTCTTTCTTGGCTTGCATATCAGAATTTGATGTTTCAGGGACAGAACATGAAGTAGAAATCTTTTTGTTCTGAAGAACGTCTTCATCAGAACTTTCAGTACTAGAATACAGAACCCTAGATGGCTTCTGTTTTTTAGTTTTAAATGATTTAGAATAAAAGGTTTTTTCCTGTTTTGCAAACAAACCACTCTTTTCGGCTTCAGATTCATTGTCTTTTCGTTGTTCTTTCCTAAGAATATGCCTGTCATCGATCATTTTACTTATCTCTTCTTCATCATCGTCTTTGAACTCATACTCATCAAGAGCAGACGGGAGTGGGGCTTTACTTGGGAGAACTTTACTTTCACAGATGAAAGAGTCTTTCTCTGTTTCTGAGTCGATATTTTCATCAACACTAGAAGGATTTACAGAATGAGCCTCTTCTGAATCTAGAACAAGAAAAGAAAAATATAGCTTATAAATACATCAGACAATTCTGATAAAATTACCTTAAGCATGTAAGCAAGATAAACATGTAAAAGTTCTCCTCGTTTTGTAGAACAATTTTACAGAATGCCCCTCTATGATGAGATTCTTGACTTTCTTTAAAAGCACATGTTAAACACAGTATGCCTATTAAAATGTATGACATGAACATATACACACATACAGCGGGAGAACATATAGCAGAGGCACCTGGATTCAGGGGAAACATCTACTGTANGCTGGTAAGAGAATGGCTTACATAAGGCTCTTTGATTCTTCCCCCTAAAAAAGATTAAGAACCACTAAATTAAAAAGATTTTGTTTTATTTTTCAAAATATATATTAGCAGAACTTTATGCTTGCCATAAAGACCAATAATTTAAATGATGGGAAGGCTTTAACAGCTGTCGGACAATGGTATTATACCCTTAAAGATTTGTCAGTTGTACTGGTTAAATAAAATGCTGATTGCCCAGTATCCAGGCAGGAAGTATAGGTGGTATGACCAGAACAGGAGAACTCTGGGAAAAGGCTGAGTCTTACAGTTGTGACTCAGACAAAGAGGAAGCCAGATGAAAATGCCTTGCTGATTAAAGGTACCAAGCCACGTGGCTAACATAGACAAGAATAAGAATAATGGATTAATGTACGATGTAAGAGTTAGTTAATAAGAAAGCCTGAGCTAATAGGCCAACCAGTTTATAATTAATATAGACCTCTGTGTGTTTCTTTGGGACTGAACGGCTGTAGGCCAGGCAGGACAGAAACTTCTGTCAACCTTTAACTACTAGAAACATGGTTATTTAGTAGAGAAAATAAGAAAAAAATTTAAATAAAACTCCAGCTACATAATCAAGATTGTAACAGATATGTAATTCACAAAAAGCACTACTCTGTTCCTTTCTGTTCCTTAAGTATTTTTACTCTATAGTTCAGACCTAGAACACTGAGAGAAAGTCTCATTTTCTATGTATTATTCAATATACAAATATTTTATTAAAGTATAGCTAAGTACCAGGCATGGTAGTTTATGTCTTTAATCCCAACACTTGAGAGGCAGAAGTAGGCAAATCTCTGTGAGTTCCAGGCCAGCCTGGTCTACTACAGTGAGTTTTTGGTCAGCCAAGGCCATACTGAGACCCTGTCTCAAAAACCAAACCAAATTACAGTCAAGCTGTTGTATAAATACAAACAAAGCCTTGGCAGAATGAACTTCAACATAGCTTTTTAAATCAAAATGAAGTTTTTAGTCAGTAGTTTTTAGCTCATGCCTGTAATCCCATACTTTGGAAATGAAGAAAAATCAGTCTTGCTACCTAGGAAGACCCATCTAAAAACAAAGCAACCCCCTACCCAATAAAACCAAACCCAAGTCCCCCAGGTCGACACTGTGTGAGCACAGGCGCCCACCCACAAGCTCGCGGGGCCAGGGAGGTGTCAGGTGCTTCTCTCTACCATTTTTCTCAGTGTTTGCAGCAGCATCTCTCCCTGAGTGAGAGGAGTGTCGCGTTTGCTAGGCTGGCAGACCAATGAGCTCTCATGACCCATTTGCCTCCTTTAGTAAAGGCAAAGACGAGTGGATCTCCACTTTGTCAGTTCCATGCCAGCCTGCTATACCAGCCAAGGTTACACAGTGAGACCTTGTCTCAAAAACAAAACAAAATTAGGCAACCTGTGGTAGAAATACAATGAAAGCCTTGGTAGAATCTATTTCATTGTATTTTTCTTTTTAGAGCAATAAGCACAGTGCCTTACTTGGCTTTTATATTTTTATTTTTTCGAGGCAGGGTTTTTCTGTGTATCCCTGGCTGTCCTAGAACTCACTCTGTAGACCAGGCTAGCCTCAAACGCAGAGATCTGCCTGTCTCTGCCTCCTGAATACTGGGATTAACCAGTGCTTTTAACCACATCTCTCCAGTTCCTATTTTTAACATTTAAGAGAGGGTTTCATTGTAGCCCATGATGGACTGGAACTCATGATTTCTTCTAACTCCACCTCCAGTGTACCTGTTTATATTTTCTTCTTTTTTATTTATTTTATTTTATTTTTTTATTTTTCGAGACAGGGTTTCTCCGTAGCTTTTTGGTTCCTCTCCTGGAACTAGCTCTTCTAGACCAGGCTGGTCTCGAACTCACAGAGATCCGCCTGCCTCTGCCTCCTGAGTGCTGGGATTAAAGGCATGCGCCACCACCGCTGGGCCCTCTTCTTTTTTAAAAAGTTTTTTTTTAATTTTATTATTTATATACATTCGTGTTTTGCCTTCACGTATGTCTGATATGAGGGTGTCAGATCTTCTGGAACTAGAAGTCAAAGACAGTTAGTGGGCTGCCATGTGGGTACTGGGAATTGAACCTGGGTTCTCTAGATGTGCAGGCAGTGTTCTTAACTGTCCAGTCATCTCTCCATCCCCCTTGTTTATATTTTCAACCCAAGGATTTCCCTCCCCTTGCAGTTTTCAAAAACTTCATTTCTTTATGACTTCTACTTAGTTTCTCACTGTACTATTAGTTTCACTGGAAATAACTTTTGTCCCTTAAATCCCCAGGAAAATGTTCTATACACAGGCACAGAGTGTTGGGGAAGCATGCTGAAAAGAACACAGCTCCTGCCTCCAGCAGCCAAGACTGCCTGAGCTCCACACATCATACAGCATGGTAGCTGTTGAGGGAACACCACTTAAACAGTAACACTCATGATGCTGGCTTTCTCGGAGAAGAAATGAAGTCACAGAGAGTAAGAATTTCAAGTAGGGATTAGCAATATTACATAAAATAAGCAGTGAAATCACAGAACCTAGAGTATGTCATTTTTTTCATTTAAAGATAGTAGACACTTTCTTTTGAAATTTGATTGTAATGTAATTTATCAAACAGAGTCACAGATATGCCAAACATTCTACCGCTGAGCTACACATTGCTCAGCACACCTTTGTTTGTGTTTGTGTCATGTGTGTGTGTTCACATATGTGGACTGTCGCTGCCTGAGTGGCTGTGTACAGAGGCCAGACACAGACACTAGGATGTTCTTCTCAATCTTTTCTCTACTCCCCACCCCCCCTTTTTGGAGGCAGTGTCACACTAACCCTGGGGCTCACCCTTCAGGCTAGACTGGCTGCCTTGCAAGCTCCCAGCCCCCCCCTGTCTCACCCCTCAACTCAGAACTGCAGTTACAGCTGTAAACTGCCATGCACAGCTTTTACAGGGGCCCTGAGTGCAGCAAGCATTTTACCCACTGAGCCATTTTTCCAGTCCTTCATTATTAACACTATAATAAACTTATTACACTTAATATACAAACATTTCATATGATTACTTTACTGAAGGAACATTCAGGTATTTTCAACTATCTGATAGTACAGACAAATTTAATAATGTAGAGAAAAAGTGGCAAACCCTGTTCTTTGCAATAAAAATGTGTAAATATGTGAGTATAGAAGAAGACAGGGGAACATACCAAAATGCTATCTTTAAGAAACTAAGGTTGGGGAGCTGGAGAGATGGCTCAGTGGTTAAGAACACTGGTTGTTCTTCTAGAGTACCCAAGTTCAATTCCCAAAACCCATATGGCAACACACGACTGTCTTGTAACTCAAGTTCCTGGAGATCTGACACCCTCACACGAATGCACATAAAATTAAATAAATTATTTTAAAAAAGAAACTGTGGTTGGATGAACATGATTTTCTAAAAGCTCTTCTTATTTTCAGGTCTCTAGCACAGCAGATGTCATTACTGCTGTCACCAGAAGGCTGTGCTCAGTTCATCAACAGACACGAAATGGTAATGCGGGTTTTTATGAGGACTCATGAGCTTATTTTTTATGTATGTTACTTCTTTTTAATGTCAGATATGACATAATTTCTTCTGGTCCTATGCCTACCATAGTAATATATTATTAATTATTTTTATATGATCTTATTCATGTACTGACATCGTATGTTTATGAGCAGCTTGGAATATATGCACTGGTGGAGTTACCATATATACATGCAGTACTTAAGAGCTGTAAGAATTGTCACTTATGAGCCTGATTCACATACTAAACCAATACCTTCCAATGCAAACAGGTCTTTGTTTCCTCACATTTTTAATATGCATATTATTCTGAAAAAACCCTATAAATTCCAATGTAAAGAATTTAGCCTGATATTAACTAATATCCATATGATAATGAAATATTTCCATGAATCCATCTGGTTCTGGATTCTTGAGTCATATACTTATCAGGAATATTCCACTCATATTTCTTGGCCTTATCTGGGGTCCTGAGCCAAGACCACTTCCCTTATGGTGTTACTGTGTAAGTAGAATGTGTGTAGACCAAGGTGACAAAATCTTCCCTTCCTTAAGCAGACTTAATTTTGAATTCACTATACTGAGGACAAGATTACCTGGTCCTGGATACCAGTGAAAGAATCACTTCAAAAGGATCTTCCATTTTTGTGTTGTTGTTGTTGTTTTAGCCATATATTCGCTATGTTAAGTAAACCATCTAAAATCTCCAAATCCTCAAATTCTTATTGTCAAAATAGCCACGGTTAGGGTCCTATGATGACCCCCCCAACATCACAGGTTGTTGTCAAGGTTATTAGTTGCTCTCCACACATAAGCAGATGGAAAGACTGAGGTAGACAACATTTACCTAAGTCATCAAACATGAAGTTGAGCTGGTGCTCAATTAGAAGCTCAGTTCTTTGTTGAAATAGGAGCGGCGGGGCTGCGTCCCCAGCACCCCAGCTGCCTGCTAGCTTATGCCCCGAAATAACAACACACAAACTGTATTCATTTAAACATGGCTTGGCCCATTTCTATCTAGTCTCTTCTAGGCTAATTCTCACATATTAATTTAGCCCATTTCAAGTAATGTGTGTAAGCACCCCAAGGTGCGCTTACCGGGAAGATTCTAGCCTACGTCCATCCTGGGTCGGAGGAGCTTCATTGCGTGCATCTGCCCGGGAGAGGG